GAAAACCTAAAATACTTAATGTCTCATGAACACATAAAGCTTATTCATATTATTGCACTACATATGCAGACACTGACTAGGACAACTGCAACTAGGCCGCTTTCTGAAACTGTTGTGTTTACACGGAAAGTATTCTGTTACCTTTCGAAGTGGCGGGTACTCCTGTGGTGTCACAGCTCTGGAGGCGGGGGTAGGTATAGACGTTGCAGAACAGTCACGTAAAAGTGCTGACTTATTGCTGTGGAGGTGGTGTGAGGTCAGTCTGGGTCAGAGGTACTACTAGCAATGCCTTTGCATTAAACCACATTTATCCACCCTCCATCTTTCTTGGTAAAGATAAAGATGTCTGGCAGATGTGTTGAATTACTGCCTGTTTATAGGTTGTAACCTGTAGACCTGTGTTTTGTTGCCTGTAACAATGCAAAGCAGGTAATTTGAGTCATTTCCTGTACTTGCAGGGAAGTCCTGACACACAAGTACTCAGTGCTCATTCTGCTGTGTTCAGAGAAGCCATGGCGTGAAAATAGCCAACATGCTTCACTTCCCCAAACTGTGCGGCACATGCCCTGTGAGATGCCAACATTCTTAAATATTGCTCTGATGGTCAGTTGCCTGATTGCATGAACATCCTGATCATGCATCATCAACCACAGCAATTCATCCATTTCAGCATCTTGCAAAACGCTGAAGTGTTCGGGCCCATGGGTTTCGATGACTGGTTTCTGAGTTTAACACAAAATTTCTATTGAAGGCTTTACGCTATGCCGTTGTCATGGCCAGTTGTCCTTATGAGATGACTGTGACCATGCAATACTGTTGGCATTGTGGGTCTAACTGTGTGGAAGGAAGCACGTGACAGCAGCCTTATCAGTTTGTAACCTGATCTCGTCAGATCCCATTTAATCCTGGAAAGCTCTAGTGAAAACCAGGCAGATGGTGATGGACTAATAGGTAGCACTCTTTTCATTGGACCAGAATTACCAAACCAGTACCTCAGAATGGTGAATGGAGCCACAAAGGTATAGGAAGTGCTCTCCTTTGGATGACACATTAAACTAAGGTCCTGACTACTTGGTCATTAAAAACCTCATGACACTGTTGGACAGAGATATTACCGTGGTGTGCTGTAATAATGTACACTTATATAGCACTTTTCTGGACACTCCACTCAAAGCGCTTTACAGGTAATGGGGACTCCCCTCCACCACCACCAGTGTGCAGCCCCACCTGGATG